ATAAGATGGGGCCAGAATTTGACCTCCTGAAACACCAAGTTAAACACGCACGAATCTGGGAATGGCAAATCACACAGTGACGAAAGTGGTGCCTTGAGATGCCAGCTCAGGCTTCAGTGTACAGCACAGCACTCCCATGAATTGGACACAGGATGCCTTAATGTGGTACATAGCATTTTTATTTTGGTTTAGTATTTGATATACATAATTCAAAACGTAATCAGAACATGAAATTTATAATTTCAAGGATATTACTCCTTATAACAGAGGTATTTTTTTTATAACAGAGCATTTTTATTATTATTATTATTTTTAATTTTCTTTGTAGAGACAGATTCTCACTTTATCACCCTGGATAGAGTGCCGTGGCATCACACAGCTCACAGCAACCTCCAATTCCTGGGCTTAGGTGATTCTCTTATCTCAGCCTCCTGAGCAGCTAGGGGGACCACGGGTGCCCGCTGCAACACTGGCTATTTTGGGGTTGCAGTTTGGCCAGGGCCAGGTTTGAACCTGCCACCCTCGGTATATGGGGCTGGCACCCTACCCACTGAGACACAGGCGCTGCCCAACAGAGCTATTTTTAAATACTACGAATAATACCTGACTTGTGCCTAGGCATGGCAGCTCACACCTGTTATCCTAGCTCTCTGAGAGGCTGAGGCAGGAGATCAATCACTTGTAGTTAGAATCTGAGACTAGCCTGAGCAAGAGTGAGACCCTGTCTCTACTAAAAATAGAAAAATTATCTGAGCGTTGTGGCAGAGCCTGTAGTCCCAGCTACTTGGGTGGCTGAGTCAGGAGGATTCCTTCAGGCCAGGAGCTTGAGCTATGATGATGCCATACCACTTTAGCCAGGCAACAAAGAGAGACTCAGTGTCCAAAAAAAAAAAAAAGTTTAAAAGGAAATGGTAATAGGGCAGATGAAGGTGATATATGAATAACTGCAGTTGAAAATCACAGGGCTACAAGATAGAAGACCCACAGCAGGACTGACCAAAAGCTGTATGTACCCACCTCCCTCCTGCTGGGGGTGGAGTCAGTACCGACTTTCAGAACAGAAAGGAACATATGGCTGGGGAGGCAGTGCACAGACCACGTTGTCAAGAAGAGGAAAGACTCAGACTGTGCCTGCAGGGAACTATTGTACCTCGGATCCTGAACGCTTCGAACACTCCTATAATCCCTTATATAATCCCTTATGTACGCCAGTATCCTTTACTAAGAACAATGAGGAGGGTGCATTCATTCTAATAAGTGGAAGAATTAGATAGAATTAGATTAAGTTTTAACACTCTGATGGAGCTTTACAATAATGAGCTCTTTGTTAGAAGAACTAATAACATCTGAGGAAATAAGTAGAACACAGGGCTTGGCACTTTCCAATTGGTTGCCTCAAAGGTCACTGGAAGTCGTATTTCCAGAAAACCAGGTTAACTTTACCTGTGCTAGTTCTCAGAATCCAGACAGGAGAAAATGACAACTTACCCACTTCTCTAAGGAGAAGTCCTTAGAAATAGCCAACCGAACTGGAAATAGGCAAAGGCTAAGTAAACAAAAGGGTCACAGTTTAAAGACAGTCCTTGGAGCCAAAGCTGAGAACACAGCAATCCCGCCGAGATCTTTAGCATTAAACAAGCAAACTAGGACCTCAGTTCCACCAGGTGTTACACACTCTGAAGAAATAACTCCAGGCTACGTAGCCACACGCTCGCAAGGTCTTAGGCTGTACCAAGGCAGAGCTTCCCTAGGGGCAGGAAACAAAGGCGCCCCGCCTGCCCCGCGGTCCCCTGACCCTGACACTCCCCACGCGAGCAACCTACTCGGTGTCAACTTGTAAAGCCTCCCTGAGAATAGCTCCCGGCGCTCCACTTGAGCAATACTTGTTTGTTTACTTGTTCTGAAGAGCAGAGCGATGACAGCGTGATTGACTGGACCGCTGGCCTATGGGAGCCTGGATAGCTAGAACGGGGGCCAATCAGAAAGCGGAGAGGCGGGCCGCGCCGGGCCGGCCTGGGGAGCGCAGTGAGCTCCCGGCAGGACTTGCCTCCATGTTGAGTGTGGCCAGGGCACCCCGCACGCGTTCTGTCCTCCCTGGTCTGACAGCTTCTCAGACACAGCCAGACCGCGTGATTTACAGCCACTGACATCACTGGTACTGGAAGATCGCGTTCAACTTTTAGCAGTTACCTCATTTCCCCCACGGTTATGGTCATTTTGGGTGAGAGTCATTTGAAACTGCCACTAAAACAAAAACAAACAAAAAAATCCTGCCACTGCAGACTGGTCCCAGCACAGTGGTGTTTACAACTAACTGATCATCACAGTCACACGTTTCTTAGTTCCTTCTCCATGCCCTCTGCTTCACTTGACTAGCCTTGAAATTTAAAAAACTTAAAAGTAAAAATAAAACTGCCACTGCTGGCTTGGTGCCTGTGACTCAAGTGGCTAGGGCGCCAGCCATATACCACTAAGGTGGCAGGTTCGAATCCAGCCTGGGTCCGCCAAACAACAATGATGGCTGCAACCAAAAAATAGCCAGGCGTTGTGGCGGGCGCCTGTGGTCCCAGCTACTTGGGAGGCAGAGGCAGGAGACTCCCTTGAGCCCAGGAGTTGGAGATTGCTGTGAGCTGTGACGCCACAGCACTCTACCCAGGGGGACAGCTTAAGGCTCTGTCTCAAAAAAAAAAAAAAAAAAAGAGTTAGAAATTAGAAAGGAATACAGAAGAAGAAAGAGCCACCAGAGCTTCTGGAAGGGGGAAAGAACTAACTGAGGAGTCTCTACGAGGGCTTTTTAATCTAGGGGTATTAGGTCTTGAGAATTTACACCTGGCCAGGACTTGGCAAATAGAGACACCTTTTCATTGTTAATGAGTGTTATCAACAAAGGAATGAATGCAGTCCCTCCAGCTCAGGGCAAAAGGGCAGGGTGTTCCCTTCCGGACCTTGCGTAAGCCTAGGAAAACAGGGTCCCCTATCCAGCCTTGAATGGGGGGAACACTGTATCAGTACCATGCCCACATTAACTAGCTCAGAATTCATGATTAATATTACTTTACCGCTGAATATTGTGCTCTACTACATTAAATATCTATTAAACCACAATCTTTCGAGTCACAGGAAATGTTTCACATGTATTCAAGCACACTTTTTTCAAAAGTTACGTGAAGTTGCTTCTTGTTTTATATCTATTTATATAAGAATAAATACAATTTATATCTTATGTGTCTAAATGTGCTATTGTCACATGGATTGATGCTTATGCAACATCTTTACCTCCAACTCCTTTGGACGATTTCCTGAGAAACACATATGGATATAAGGTTTTAGATTCAAGTTAGGTTTAGAAGTTCAAGGTAGAACTATAATAGATTTGCAAATGTGGATTTCAGTACTGTATTTGAAAGACACAAAGAGTGACCCTGGCCCATCACTACCACAACCCTTGAGGCTGTTAATAATTCTCTGGCAAGGAACTCAAAGCTTTGGCAAAACCTTATGGAGGCCTGAGGGTAGGAAAATATGAGACTCTCCTTCCCCACCCCCATCTCCATATGCCAAATATCGATTTTTCTTGCCTCATCTTTCATTTGGAACAGTTGTCCCTAAAGAGAAAGAGAGAAAGCTCATTTCTTCCAAAGCAGCCACGGAGCCAAGACAACAGTCACCAATCAATACCCAATATCCTAAGAATTAAAAAAGCACAGGCCACTCTCTTTTAAAACTTCAAAACTGGTAAGCCTGTGTTTGGCAAAAAGAAGATACACAACAGGCGCTTGCTGGATCTTCTTTTTCAATTTTTACAGGGTAGAAAAGAACCAAGCCACGGACATCTTCCAAAAAGAAGGCTGTCCTAGATTAGGTGGAGCTCAAAATTCTTCCTTTGGAACTTTGGAAAGCAGATAGAATATTTAAGTACTATTCCTTATTAATTATATCGCTAGCAGAGATTTTTTTTAGGTAAAGAACTATGACAGAAGAGAAAAAGACAGAGACAGAAAGTGGCCCGTGCACAAACGCACTGCTATTCCACAAAGAGTGGGATAAAGACCTACAAGCGACATCACTCTCCCGGTGGCAGGAATACTTGATTATACGAGGAGTCTACCACACTGTCTGGCTTCTCTGTAAGGAAAGAAATCTCAACTGCATAAAACCACTTTGAGAAACATGTCTTTGTATGTTCCGAGTTCATAACGGAGAGCACATCAGACTAATCCAATTACTTTATCAAACACGCATGTAAGAAAGGCTTTTACAAAGTCAAGGGGGGATAAGCCTGGATGATGGAAATTTTTCATAACAATAAAGGACAAAAACAGCCAAGAATCCAGCGCTGTTCACAGAGATGCTCGTTCTGGGGAGCCCAGCGGGAACCCCGACCGTGAAGGAGGCGCAGCGCTCTCAGACCTCACAAAACACCTGCGGGTCAGGACACCGCTGCCCCGGCCCACGGGAGTCTAGATCTCACACATTTCGCTCTTGTTTACGGTGGCTCAGGTGGCTTAGGGGTTGAGAGACTGAGAGTATGAAAAAGAGTCAGATTCGTTATTCGAGAGACTAGAAAAATCTCCCTTTTTACCGTGCGGGTCACGGGTAATGACCGATGTGACAGAACCAACCGTGAACCTCTAGGGACATCCGAAGCCACCCGAGAGCTGAAGCCCCTCGTCAAGGGCAGAGCTGGCGGGGCAGGAAGGCTTAAGGGGCCTTTCCGGGGCTCCCGGCTGGGCTGGTGCAGCCTGAGCTTGCTTCGCCCCTGTGGGAGGTGGGGGCTCGTGGGCGCGCCTGGTGCGAGGAGCCAGGAGGGCCCGGCTCGGCCCGCGCGGCAAAGCGCAGTCCCGGGCGCGCCCCTGTTACGCATGCGCACTGCCGGCCCCGCCCCCACGCGCTGCGCGCGGCCCGGGCTTCCGCCACTTCGACCATGGCGGCGTCCTCGGCCCGCCCTGGCCACACCTTATGGTGACGCAACGTTGGTCACCTGACCTGGCTGCCGGCGGAGGATACACAAGGGAAGTGGCTGTCGCCGAGTAGGAGTCTCCGCTGCCGTCGAGCTGCGGAACCTCCGGGACCCTCCGCGCCGTCAACCACTCCCCGCGCCATGCCGTCGGAGAAGACCTTCAAGCAGCGCCGCACCTTCGGTGGGGGTCGCGTCGCGGGGCCGGGCCCGGGCCCGGGCTGGGAGCGGCCGCGGGCCCAGTGGGACCGCGCTGTGGAGGGCCCGAGGGCCGAGCTGGGCCGGGCGATGCCGGGGGCCGGGCCGGGTGGAGGTCTGGGCTGAGGCCCGGCGTCCCTGGGGCTCCTGAGCGTGCCGAGGCCGCTCGGTGCAGTGGTCCCCGCCGCCCTGGCCGCTGGGAGGGCCGGCTTCTGTCTGGGTAGACCGGGCCCCGGGTGGCAGCCGGGGCGGGTCTGCCTGAAGCGGTGCGGCTGGGGGTCCAGGGGGCCCCCGGGGAGTCCGCGCGTCCCGGGCGCGGCGTCTGGCGGTGTGGACGGCCTGATCCGGTGGGCGGCACCGAGGTTGTTGGTTGCGGCGGGAGCCGCGCCCCTGGGCCTGCAGGGTCGCGATGGGGGCGGCGTGGCCCGCGTCTCCGAGCGGGAAACCGTGCGGCGCGTCCCGATTGTGCGGGACTTGCTGTGACGGCCCCGGACGCGGCGCTGGGAAGGCGGTGTTCGTCTTCCGTGGACCTTAACGCGGACGCCATGTGTCCGCTCCTCCTGCTGTCCCGCAGTCGGGAGCATCCCTTTGGTTTGGACGTGGCTCGCACGTCGCGATCCCGACTACGGTGCGAGTTCTCGAGCTCGAGCCGATGCTCTGGGGGTTCAGCGGTCGTCGCCGCGCACTCTCCGGTGCGGCGTCGCGAGGCAGCTTGTTTAGCGGCACCTGGACCTGCCTGGTTTCCTTAGAAATCGTTCCTTCTCTTCAGGGACCTTAGTGAACCTTAGCATTGAGAGCATTTGAGGTAGATTTACCTTTTTATCTGGTTTCTGTTTTCACCAGGTCTGGCCTTTGGGGCTTTACTGGGGACATTTTTGTAGGGAGATGGCCTTTCTTTCACAGTGCAAACTATAGTTTTGCTTCTAGTGTTTTTGAGCTATTCTGGAAGAATCTTTGAGGAAGAGTAGGTAGTAAGGGTGGGAGACAAAAGATAAGAACTAGGAGTCAGCCTGGAACTTGAAAATGGCCCCTGGGTAGACACCAAGAATGGCCTTTTTTTTTTTTTTTTTTTTTTTTTTACCTCCAGTAGTGTATACAGGGGGTAAAATATATGAACATATATACAAACACTGTATTTTCTGGGTGTTTGCCTTAGCTGACCTTAATTTCCCCCACTACCCTTAAAGACCTCTTTCTTGTAGAAAAGGGTCTTGCCTCTCATTGCTTCTGATTATGGTATTGTTGACTTCCCCACTGACAATTCCGCGGGATTGCATTCTCTGTAAATGCATTCTCTGGACAGAACCTCTTTACAGAACCTAAGATCAGCAGCCCCAGTTCGCTTGATTCTTTCCTTTTCAAGTGAGCGAGGTTAAGGTTCATTTCAAGCTGAACGTAGCTCAGCTGGTACCTTCCCTGGGATTGAGGGATCCTAAAGTTGACATACACCTTAGGGCTCAAACAAAACCCCTTTTGTAGCTCCACAAACTGGGTGGAGCCTGGAGGGGAAGATCATGGTCCACCTAGTGGTGGAAGCGGGACTGGTACCCATGACCTTCTGGCCTGAATTGCTCTCTTGGGGAGGTAGCCATCATTCCCACTGAGAGGAGGGACCAGAATTGGGAACCAAGAGACAGTGTGTCCTTGCATATAAGACGTTTTTGAAATATTTAAACCACCTTAAAAATTAAAATTAAGCACGTACCTGGTTTTCTCAAATGTGATAATCTTCACTCCATTTTCTCCTGGAGGCCCCAGTTTGTTTAATCCATTAGCTGCCTTGTGAGTTGTGTTTAACTTACACTAGTTTTTTTTTGTTTTTGCCGTTTTTGGCCCAGGCTGGGTTTGAACCCGCCACCTCCAGCATATGGGACCGGTGCCCTACCCTTTTGAGCCACAGGCACTGCCCAACTTAGGCTAGTTTTGAGGCCAGAGCCTTGTGAAGCATGTATTACTCACATGTCTCTTGACCTAATAAAACACTGTGGCTTTAAGGAAAAACATTTTATTTCTAGTGTGGCAGTCACTGTGTTGATAACAGATTTGCTTCCCAGATCTGTTCTGAAATTTTATCAAGGACAGTAAACCTAGATATTAAGCTGTTCCCACAAAAGCCTTTGTCTCTGGGGAGCTCTATGGGTTGGTCTAGAGAAAACAGCTCAGACTACAGTAATGGGACTGGAGAGTGAGGTTTATGTCAAAGCCTGGTGGCTCTCACTGGTGGGTGGGATGTCACCCTAAGGCTTATCTGCAAAGATGGAGAGAATATTTATTACCCTTCCACTCAGTAAATTGAATCCTGGAAAATGTGTGTACTAAAATGTTACTTTTAGGCTTGGCTCCTGTAGCACAGTGGTTATGGCATGGACGGTTCAAAACTGGCCCAGTCCAGCTAAAAAACAATGACCACTGCAACAAAAAATAGCCGGGCATTGTGGCGGCTGAGGCAAGAGAATCACTTAAGCCCAAGAGTTTGAGGTTGCTGTGAGCTATGACACCGGGCACTCTACCAAGGGCGACATAGTGAGACTCTGTTTCAAAAATAATTAAACAAAATGTTACTTTTTTTTTTTTTTTTTTAAAGATAGAGTCTCACTTTATCACCTGCAATAGAGTGCCAGTGGTATCACAGCCTGCCTCAGCCTCCAGAGGAGCTGGACTACAGGCGCCCACCACAATACCTGGCTATTTTTTGTTGCAGTTTGACAGAGGCCAGGTTTGAACCCGCCATCGTCGGTATATGGGGCTGGCACCCTACTCACTGAGCCATAGTCGCTGCCCAGTTTTAGGTTTTTTTTTTTTTTTTTCTTTTCTTTTTTTGAGACAGTGTCTCACTCTGTCATAGCTCACAATAACCTCAAACTTGGTCAATCCTGTCTCAGCCTCCCAAGGTGCCAGCCACAACACACAGCTGTTTTTTAGAGATGGGGTCTCACTCTTGCTCAGGCTGGTCTAGAGCTCCTGAGCCCAAGCAATCCTCCTGTCTCAGCCTCCCAGAGTGCTGGGATTATAGGCGTGAGCCACCTCTCCTGGCCTTTTGTTTTTTGTTTTTTTGAGACAGTCTCACTCTGTTGCTCAGGCTAGAGTATTGTGGTCTTATCTCACATCAAACTCAAAACTCCTGGGCTTGGCCGGGGCTCATGCCTGTAATCTCAGCATTCTGGGAAGCTAAGGCGGGTGGATTGCCTGAGCTCAGAAGTTCGAGACCAGCCTGAGCCAGAACGAGACCACATCTCTAAAAATAGCTGGGCATTGTGGCGGGCACCTATAGTCCCAGCTACTTGGGAGGCTGAGGCAAGAGAATCACTTGAGCCCAAGAGTCTGAGGTTGCTCTGTGCTATGACGTCAGGGCACTCTACCAAGCAATGAGAAAGTGTGACTGTCTCAAAAAACAAACTCCTGGGTTCAAGTGATCCTCCTGGATCCTCCTTCCTCAGCCTCCCAGAGGATTATAGCTGGGATTATAGGTGTGAGCTGCCACTCCCAGCCTAAACCTATTGGGGTTTTTGGTTTTTTTGAGACAAGTCTCAAGCTTTTGCCTTGGGTAGGGTACTGTGGCATCAAAGCTCACAGCAACCTCCAAATCTTGGGCTCAAGCAATCCTCTTGCCTCAGACTTTCTGTTTTTAGTGGAGATGGAGGTCTCAATTTTGCTCAGGCTGGTCTTGAACTTGTGACCTCAGGCAATCCGCCTGCTTCAGCTTCCCAGAGTGTTGAGATAATAGGTGTGAGCCACTGCCCCCCGGCCTAAACCTATTTTCTTGAATAAAAAGAAAAAGATAAACCTTTCCTCACTGCCTGAATAATTCTACTTTTAGATGTATTAGGATAAGCTTTTAGATATGAAACATTTTCCAGGATATATTAAACAGTTATCCTCTATTTGTTGGAGTGAGTTAACTAAATTGTGAGCTTTCCCTGCAAACTGCAGTGATCTGCACTGACAGATGGGGGATGTCACTGGAGAGGCTGGAAGCTGTGTCTGGACAGAGCCTTCCCTTCTCAGGGAGGGCAGGCACAGGGAGAGGTCTTAAGAGATAGGAGAGGTAAGGAGACCCTGGCTGGGACTGCCAAGAGCTCAAAGTGTAAGAACCACTAGGTTCTTTACTATAAACTAAGTTTATCCTTATTCTCATACTTAATGAACTGTATAGAAATACAGGAAAATACAAAAATCTGAATTTTCAGTCTTTGTCTATAGCAAAGATGTTTTATTTAGTTTGTATTTGTGTTTAGAAGCTGACTTTAAAATGTTGGGTGGTCCAAAATCATGTTCCAACTGGAAAGTGTATGTATTTAATAATTTTGTGTTGAACACCAAAAAAGATGTTGCATGGGAAAATAGAACAGTATATGGTAGTACTTGGACATAGGAATTATGTTCATAGCATTTATAAATAGTGATACTAAAATCATTTCTTTTTAATCCAGATGAGATTGCCAAGGATATTAGAATGAATACATGTTTATATAGGTCATAGCATCTTCTTTTTAGAGCCACCTTCTCAGGAAGTTCATGATATTGATCATTTATTTCCAAATGCCATAAGAATGAATCATATCATAGTAAGTTAAGGCAGTTTTATTCGGTTTTTGGTTGAAAGCTTTAATACAACCTCAGTCATTATGTTCACACACTATTTTGTGTGTGTGTTTTTTTTAAGAGACAGAGTCTCACTTTGTCACTCTCAGTAGAGTGCTGTGGCATCACAGCTCACAGCAACCTCCAGCTCTTGGGCTTAGGCAATTCTCTTCTCTTGCCTCAGCCTCCCAAGTAGCTGTGACTACAGGCACCTGCCACAATACCCAGCTATTTTTTTGTTGCAGTTTGGCCGGGGCCGGGTTCAAACCCCTGACCCTCAGTATATGGGGCCAGCGCCCTACTCACTGAGCCTCAGGTGCTACCCCACACACTGCTTTGTAATGACCTGTCTTTCCAATTCTTTTTTTTTTTTTTTGAGACAAAGTCTTTGCCACCCTTGGTAGAGTGCCATGGCGTCACAGCTCGCAGCAACCTCCAACTCTTGGGCTTAAGCGATTCTCTTGCCTCAGCCTCCCGAGCAGCTGGGACTACAGGCGCCCGCTACAATGCCTGGCTGTTTTTTTTGTTGCAGTTGCCACTGCTGTTTTAGTTGGCCAGGGCCGTGTTCGAACCTGCCACCCTCAGTATATGGGGCCAACGCCCTACCCACTGAACTACAGGTGCCGCCCAGTCTCTCTAACTCTTGTCAGGTTTTTAGAACTCAACCTGGTTGTTTCTCCTGCATCATCCAGAGAACCTGGTGCAATTTTTGAAATTATAAAGATATGATTATATTAAAAGGGAGAATAGAGATGTTCTCACAAGAGTATTTAATGGCAGACTTTGTGCTTTAAGCTTTGATTTCTTTTAGGCACTGAGCAAAACTATTTAAAACTCAAATAGGATATTATTTTCTTTCCATATTCCTTTCTCTTGAGCAGTCTTTTTCTTAAGCATCGTATCAGTAAAAAGCTGGAAATGATGAGAAAATTGTATCAAATAGTCTGTGGTTTATAATGGATTCCTAACCAACGTAAGAAACTATGGAAAATTAACAGAAATCAATGTATATATCATGGGTGGTGGGACTCCTTGGAGGATAGAGAGTTCAGGTTCCTGTGCAGTTAACCTGCTTAGTGTACCTGACTGCAGACCTGGGGCTCTAACCTGATGAAACCAGGGCTTCTGTCCTTCTGGCTTTGTATGGTGCCACCTGACATAGTCCTGTAAGTGCCTCCTGGTTTTCTTGTACTTTGCCTTTGGTTTTGGATACCAACCTTTGTAAGATAGGAAGAATCTACAGAGTTCTAGGGAACATGTCTTCACTGCTCTGCTATGTAGCCACAGCTAAGAATGGCTGAATTCAGACATAGAACCAGTAGAAATGCCAGGGAGCAACTGTCTGGCCCGTAAATAACACACTCCTGTCTCCTCCTCTCATTGCAGAACAGAGAGTAGAAGATGTCCGGCTCATCCGTGAGCAGCACCCTACCAAAATCCCGGTAGGTGGTCTCAGGGTTCTGCTGCAGGCACTGAGTATACAGGCAAGAATGCTTTGGAAAGGACCTCTTGAGAGCACTACTGCTTCAGCATACCCACTGACAGGATTTCTATCAATCTACAGACATTCAAACCTGAACATCAATTTCGTAGTCTAGAAGTGATGTTTTAATTTTTTTTTTAAGTGATGGGGTCTTGGCTGTATTGCTTAGGCTGGAGTGCAGTCTAAGACACAGGTAGGAGCACAGCTCACTCAGCACAGCCTTCTCCAGCTCCTGGGCTGAAGGAGGGCTCCTGCCTCCGCCTCCCAGGCAGCTGGGATACAGGTGCCCCACTTAGAATTGAGATGCTGACAGCTTCACTGTCCAATCTCATTGTTTTTCTTCCTCAGTCAGAGTTTGCTATCTTAATGTTACATATTTCACAAAAGTAATTATTTGGGGGTCCAGAAAAATCAGAGGGCCAACACTGTGTTTTATTATGGAAAGAAGTGTTACCTTTTTTTTTTCTTTTTGAGGCAGTGCCTTGCTTTGTTGCCCCAGCTAGAGTACAATGGTGTCATCATAGCTCACTGCAACCTCCAATCCCTGGGCTCAAGGGATCCTCCTGCCTCAGCCTCCCAGAGTGCTGGGGTTTCAAACATAAGCCACCACACCTGGCCCTGTTACCTGTCTTTTAAAGGAAGCAAACAAATAGTACTCCTATGGGAAATTCAATAGCTCTCAGGATTTAAAAGTAACTGCGAATTCAAGGATGCCCCAGAGAAATCTCTTCTGTTTGGCTGATCTGCACATGGAAGAAAGACACTGTTCTTTCCTGTGGTGTGCAGGGGCCTCAGACACTTGTGCTTTGTCAGCCATCAGCATCTTCTGCTCTAAATCCTTTGGTGGGGGGCCTTAAACAGGCCTTCTCAGGTATTTGGTTTAGGAACCAACCTACTCATTCATACTGAGAAATCTTGGACTAATTACTAAATTTCTAGGAGGAGTTCCGACACCCTCTGTAAAATAGAGAATCCCAGGCATTTATTGCAAAGATTTGCATAATTCTGGACCCGTGGCAGTCACTTAATGTTGGCTGATGTTGCCTCCTGCTAATTCTGTAAACCACTGAGAAAGGAACTTCACTACTTTGTATAAGCTTTCCTGGCTGGTCAGTTCATACCAAATTGAGAAAGTAAGTAAAAGCTGGCTAGGCTTGGAGTGGCCGTGTTGGCCTTATTGGGGCTCTAAGCTGGACAGAGAGGAGGAGATGGGTCTGCTCAGCACTTCACAATTGTGGGGGCTTCAGTAAAGGCCTCATTGCCCAGACTGGATAGAAACTTCACAGCTTGTCTCATCCGGGTGTTAACAAATGGCTACTGAGATAAGCCTCCAGGGAGGGCCCTCTTAGACTAAGTAGAATTTCCTTAGGTTTCTCTGTGCTTTTGAGTGCCTGCTACATCTACCAGATAGCACACACTAGCAGTTGAAAGCAAACAGCCAGCCAGGATTTTGTTTCACTACCTCCTTTTGAAATGTGAATCTCTGTGTAGATTGACAGCTATCTTTTCTGCTAGTAGTTTCAAGTTCTTTGCAGAAAGGTACATTATCTGTACTTCACATGCTTGTGACACCTGAACAGGTTTGAGAACCAGACCCTCCCAGGGGCTCACTTGCTGAGAATAGGGATGGCCAGAGAAGTCATAGCACATTGGCTCACCAACCCTCTCAGAATTTCTCAGGGAGGCTTTTCCCTCTGTGCTCCTGTCTTCTGAGAGAAACATTCTACAAGGTACTGTTTAGATCCAGCCATGTGTCTTATTGCAAGACATGATGATATCTCTCCCAAATTAGATGAGCAAAAGAAAAAATAAGAACTGAATAGTAAACCAGTCATTTATATAGTTTGTATTTTCGTGGCGATTAACAAAAGGGAGTTGGGACCTGCTAGAATGCCACCTCTCAGGGCAAACAAGAGCAGAAAGTGCCCCGAAGATAACCATTTGGCATTTTCCCAGATTCTTGTATGTTCCTTTAGTAGATAGATTATAAGGTTATTTTCTCCCCTTTTCTGAGTTCTGGCCCAGGATCCAAGATTTCTGCTCTGCCTCTGGTTTTCTCTGTTCTGGAAGCCCAGGACATTGCGCTTCTGAACATGCCCATTAGATGAAGCTCTGGGTCTTACTGATGAGGGTGATAACAGCTCAGCTGGGCCTTACACAGAACCTCAGGGAGGTCTCACACAGTGGACTTTCCATACCCACCTCTCAACCACTCCTTGTGCTGACATGGGAGGAGAGTTCCATCATGTGGCAAAGGATGAAACTCAGAAAACACAGAGGAGAAGGAGGCTCAGAGCCTGTCTGAGGTCGGGTTTTATAGCTGTAAACCTAAAAAAAAAAAATACTTTTTGTTCCTCCATGGGAAGGAATTATGGCAAGAAGCTAATAATGGCAAGGATTTTTGGGTTTTTTGGTTTCTATTGTGGAACTATTTTTATTCCCTATGTAGTTCTAGTACTTAATTTAACTTTAACCTCATTAAAAAAATATAAAGAACACTATCAAAATGAAAGGACCGAGTCCTTCTGCACCAACTTTGTCTCCACAACCCACTAATAATAGTCTCTATTTGGTTTGCCCATTATTTACTTAAGACTTTCTTTATGTCAAGTATAGAAACATTCTCTAGTAGGGAAAACATTGAGCATATTACCATAATTAACAACTAGTGCTTTTGTTTTTGTTTTTTTTGAGACAATGCCTGGGATCGAGGTGGATAGAGGGCTGTGGCTTCATTGTAGCCTATGCTGACCTGAAACTCCTGGCCTCACACAATCCTTTGCCTTGGCCTCCTGAAATGCTGGGCCATCGTGCCTGAACATTTCTGCACCTCAAAGGCTTGGGATCTTTCTCTGACTAGTTTATTTTTCCTGGTTCTAAACTCAAGCAGAATGAAAGATACACAGCAGAGTATTTCTGCCCACCCTGCTGCCTGGTAGTGACCATGCCCTCAGTGTATTTTGTAAGGGAGAAAGGCTAAGATAATAAATAAATGATCACACTTCATAGGAGAGTTACAAAGAAACTAATGAATGTGCTGTTTGGCTAGTCCCAACACAGGAAGCATGGTCTCTGTTTTTCATTGCTGATGACTTTTTATTAATAAATCTCTTCCTGCTTCTTTCCTAGGTGATAATAGAGCGATATAAGGGTGAGAAGCAGCTCCCCGTCCTGGATAAAACCAAGTTTCTCGTACCTGATCATGTCAACATGAGTGAACTTATCAAGATAATTAGGTATGTAATCACCTTTGCTTTGTGCTTCCTTTGAGTTACTTCCCGTTATCAGACTGATACTCTTTAGTTGTGATTAAAATCTCTATCATCTTAATAAAATTATACAGTGTTTCATTTCTCTGGTTTTATACTTATCTTACTGGACCTCAGTTCCTTCTCGTTCTTTCATAGTATCTAATGTAAATGTTTCTTCTTTAAAAGAAATGACACGTCTTGGCGCCTATGGCTCAAGTGGCTAAGGTGCCAGCCACATACACCTGAGCTGGCAGGTTCGAATCCAGCCCGGCCCGCCAAACAACAATGGCTGCAACCAAAAAATAGCTGGGCATTGTGGCGGGCACCTGTAATAGGCAGGCTACTTGGGAGGTGGAGACAGGAGAATTGCTTGAGCCCAGGAGTTGGAGGTTGCTGTGAGCCTTGATGCCACAGTACTCTACCCAGGGTAATAGCTTG